CTGTTGATGACGTCAGCAACGCGGTTTAATCGGGCGCGGCTTAGTCGAGCGCGGTTTTGACGGGTCACGGCTTTTCTGAAAGGCCCTAAAAACATGGCATTTATTGCAACAGGGCTGGGAACCCCAAGTGGAAGCCAATCAAGTGGTTGATTTGAGTGTGATGTTGCAACCATGGGGAGGGGAGTTTGTTATGTGCTTTTGTTATGCAGTGGATTTTTAAAATGTTTTTAAACGTTTGATAATTTGATAGGTAATTGGCTTACAACATTTTAAAAAATCCATAGCATTGGAGGCATCTATGAGCGAATTGAGCAGCTATATTAATTTGTTAAATAATAGATCGATGTGTGGGGTATGTGAATTTTGGGGTAGGGTTAGCATCAAAAGTGAGTGAGTACTGGTGTAAGTGATGTTACCTGTAATTGCCTATCAAATTAAGTATCAGGCAGGATTTTAAAAAAATACTAGAAGAATTTGAGGTGAATTAAGGCCCTTTTTCCACTGAAAATCCAATTCCCATTAAAATGGGGCCAGGGCTACGATAATTTGTCCTGCTCCTCAGTGCTCCCTGTTTTTGATGCCCAAGAAGGCTGGCACAGATTGCAAAGCTAAGTTTTAACCACCTTGAGAGAAGATATTGAGTCTGATCATAGTTTGTTCAAAGAACCTTCCCCCCCAGCATTTGCTCTTAGGAATTATTTTCCTTTCAGTAGTTTCAGCATCCCCTCCCTTCACTTTTGGCTGGGATTAGTCTGTTGCCCAGCTGCATTCCAAGGATGGTTTCCCCCCCTGTGATCTTCTGAGGTTGGTTTTGACTGGATCTTTCCAGCGAGGTTTTGATCTCACGTGTTCAATTAGCTGATGAGATCTACTTCCTCAAACAGGGACTCTCTGTGTTAAAGCAAATTCTCTCCCTTCCCTCTGGTTTGACCAAATCTTTTGTTTGGGACAGTTTAATTAGTTGAAATTATTTACTCAGAGGAATCAGGGGGTTGCTGAGTCCCCGTTAATTCAATGTCTCTTTAAGAAAGGATTGGAGGGGAGGGCATGTAAGATGTTTGCCAACGAAGGGCATTTTGTATGCCGAATATTGGTTGGGTTGGGTTCATGATGATCTCAACGCTTACACTCCCAGTGTTCGCCATGTACCTGTGCTACTCATGGCAGAATAAAAAAAGGAGAAAGAAATTAGAAAGATAGAAACTTTCTTACCCACATTTGGAAAAGCCTCAGCTGCTAAATCCCTGCAGGTAGCAGAGCTGAAATAAGCAGGGGGGTGGGTGGGGGAGAATCACCTTACTCTTGCATTTGATTTTTAAATATGAAATTATTTTCTATATGTTTATTTTCTAATAAAAGCACGGTGCTTGTTTATGAACATGTGTTCTGCTCTGAATTCCAGCTCCAAGGTCCCTTCCAACCCTATGATTCTATGTCAGTGTTTCTCAACCTTGGCAACTTGAAGATGTCCGGACTTCAACTCCCAGAATTCCCCAGCCAGCGAATG